TTCGAAGTATATATTTACAATTAAATTAGAGTCGACGAGCCAACGCCTTCAATGCATCATTAAATGTAATATTGTATCACACAAATCTCACTGTAAACTCTAAATTTAATTGGCACATTTCCTTGGATGAGCGTTGTTAAATATATCCGTTCAGTCAATGTATCAAGTTTTTTGTCGTAACATTGTTATGTTATTTCCCCTTTATTATTATGTGGTCGTTGTGTTTCGAATTGCAGGTCTAAAACAATGCTCCTCCTGAAAACATAACCAGGAAGAGATACGAAGCCCAGCATTGTGAATCGCTAATGCCAGGTACTATGTTCCATTGCACACAACATACTTTACACTATGATTGTTATCACTTACTTATTGAAATAATGTTTCCTCAAGAACGTAAAACAGCATAGCATCAGATGATAGCCCTCGGTGATTATCGAATATCTATCATGACAGAGCTTATAGAATGGAAAGGTTGTTGTATACTCTGCATAAGAGACTTATTCAAAACGGAATGTAACAGATGTATGCAGATACGGTAGTACAACATCTATCAGATAGGCTTATGTTAAAATGGTGTTAAATAATCGTGATAATTTGTTATTAGGTTTACTCGTAAAATTTCACTCTCCAAAAATATTTGAATTCATCTGAATTATTAGATAAATCAATAATAATTCACCTTAAATGAAGTAGCGGTATTTGTTTTGACCTAAGAAAGATTACCCTATTGACCCAAAGGATTAAGAACTTAGCATTGTAAACGTTTTGTATTAGCACCAAATGCCGAATTAATCACGAGAAACTATAATATCGCATAAAATTGATGTATTGTTTTAATTTGGGAAAAATTGAAAATGTTTGTGTCTTGTAAATCTAGTAACAAAATTATCCCAAGGATTTGTGGGTAGAATTTATTTCCGCGAATTTTCCCCAGTGATACTAGGATTTAACCAGCACCATGGAGTTCTTTAGTGAATACAACAATTGCGGTCAGTCAGATACCGGAATATCATTTGTTATGGTAACCGAGTGATAGACATACAGTCAGAAGCCTGAATAGTATGTGTTATAGTAGCCATGCAATACACATAAACGTCAAAAATCAAAAGAACCGGCTCTTTGTTTAAAAATAAAGTGAAGGCTTAATCATTTTGTGTGTGTGCTGAATGTACACGGTTGTGTGGCGAAAGGGTAAACGATGTGGCACGTGGGTGAGAGATTGAATTAAGGTTATCCCTGATTTGATACAGTATATTCCACAGACAAATTATAAAATTCATGAATAATATAAATTAATAGAATCAAATAATTATACAACAACATACTACAATTTATTAGCGAATTTCGAGATACATTATGAAATTTTGAACTGACAACCAGCGAGTATATGCTGTATAGTGCACACAATCGGTCGTAAGTAAAATACAGTACTTATATATACCAGTGCAGTCTAAATTATATTTATGAATGCATGTTATCGCGGCGTAGGATGTGACAGATTTACTGAATGTGTAATGAGATACAACTATCTGTTAAACAATTAGGACACAAGTTTAATCCCGCCATTTTTAACTGCCAGTATAATTTGCCACGCTTATGGTAGCTATGTAGAACTAATTAAAATAATTGTTATGGTTCAAATATGTGCATGCATATCTGCATATATGTGCATGGTCGATACACCAAGCTGTACTCAAAGGTAGGGGTACTAGTCAATACTGATACAGACCGAATTTATTGGTAAATGAGTGTTTCCAAAATGTTTTGGGACGTGTCTTGCAATATTTGCAAATAATTCAGTACAGAAAAGTAAACTGGATCTACTGAATATTTAAATAAGGAATAGTTACAACAATCTTTAAATATGAATATGTCAATAATTATGAAAGTCTTTGTAAATTGTATAATTTACATAATATGAATAGTGGATTTTTAACATGTCTTATGATTTATGTCTAGAGAGGTCATATGATAACTTTTATCCAATTATGTTACTATTCAGTGCGTACACATAGTTTAGTGATTACCTTACTAGTCACCAACAGCTCATTCGTATTCATGTTAAGTTCAACACTCAATTGATAGGCTGAAGTCATTGAAGTGGTTATCATGTAGAGTGTGACTTCTACAAGTCATATAATTATTTCAAAATAATACATGGGCATATTTCTACTAATGTCAAGCCAATTGAACACTTGTTAACTATCACACACGTCAGGGGACAAACAATTGAGTGTTAATTCCATCTAAAAAAGTAATCCAGGTAGACGAATGTTTAACCTTTCCGCAACTTTTATTTCGTAAAGTCCACCCACAGTTGTAAAAACTAATTCAAATTTAACGACTAAATTGAAGCATCTTTCTTTCTTTCTTTTTTTCTTTGCACAACTAGGCTCTTGTGGAAATAGGCTCTAGCTGCTTTTAATTAATTATTTCATCCCAGTCCTGTAGTTGTAATGACCCTTTCTGTATGCTTTCGTTCAAGCTTTCTTAAAAGTGTGCCAATATTAATACAGTAAAAATTACATATATGATACAATTATTTGAAATTCGTCTTCTAATTTGTGGTCACCATCCACAGTTGCTTATTAAAGTAGTCAACGATTGATCTACGCGTCAGTTTGTCTAAAAGGTTGACTTAAAAGAATAAGCAAAATTTGAAATATATTATTGTATCAAACGTTTTTTACAATACATTCAACTCCAATGTACCGCTTGGTGGAGGCTTTACCAAATATTTCGCAAAAGCTGCACAGTTTGTTAAAGAGAGTATTAAACATGTACGACTAATATATTTAGTTAGTTATGACAATACTAGTTATGATAATAATAATTATTGAAAGTGTCAGGAAATGCGATATCTTAAATTAGAATGTGGGTGACTTTACCAGAACAGTACAGAACAGTCTACCAGTATAGGTATCATTCATCAGGTTTTAAAGATAGTAATATAAATGAAACAAATACAGATATACAGAGACAGCTGGTTTGATATATTCAGTTTTTATAAATGAATTTTAAATTTGTTTGATTGAAAACTCGAAGAAAAGTAGAAGTTCTGGATCTGACATTGCAACAGACATTGTCATCAACATCATCTATGTTGTAGTATATCAATCACATAAGATGATGCAATAGACCTATTCATACTGAAAAGCCATGTATATGATACCAAAACCTTATTCTTTTTTTTTTGGATAGTGAATTTTTGGTTTTTATTAATTCTTTTCCCACTGCAAATTCAAAACTCTTTGTGCAGCATTTGAACTACTCAAGACTCTGTTGCGTCATACTTTCAGCAGAGCAATGTAATGTTCCGCCAATAAGTTCTTCTATTTACACAAAATGTAATATTTCTATATTTAATATGGAATAGATTTATTTATCGCGTTATTAATCTAAAGTAGATTTAACTGTATGTAAAGTTGTAAATTATAGATATTATATATCTCCTCCTCTAGATATACATATTAAATTTGACTAAATTACATAATTGTATAGAATTTGCAATACACATGGTTGTTAATTGTTTCTATTGCCTTGTATTATTAATGAGTGTCTGACACACTGATAATTATTCATTGTTTGTTTTATAACCGATTATTTGAGTTCACTGAATGCTTAGATATGATTTATATAAGTGTTTTTACATGCAGGACCATTTGGAATTGTCACGAAGAAACAAACTAGATTGTTCATTTTTACCATTAATATTATGGTTTTTTTTAAATAAGGACATTTTTCTTTATTAGTATTATTTGAAGTTTGTTCTTTCCATGGGGAAGCGTGATCTTTATTGGCAAACACAAATGTGACACAATATCTACAAGTCATAATCAACGATCCGGTTAAACAATAGGCAGGAAATATGTGTGTGCAATTTGATAATCGAATGCTTTCTGCAGAGGTTGAAGGCTGCATTTCTTCAGCTATACCACAGAAGGTGAGGAAATATGTTATCAAAAAAAAAACTATTAGAAAGTTTCTGGATGTCAATTGTCTTGCACGAGGACGACCTAAAATTCACGATTGTGGCTCAGAGAGATATATGGCGGGTGCCACACGTGGAGCAAGATGTTCTCACTCTTTTCGAAACACCTGACATCACCTCTTGGCTTGTGCCTTGAGGTCCATGTATTTCCCTCACCGATTTGACAGTGTGTTGTTTGTTTTGTTTGTGTGACCCCTGTGTTTTCTCGGATTTGTAAATATTGCCTTTTGACATTGATTGTTTGGATTATAGTTGGGTATTATTGCTTGGATTTTATCTATGCCTTCTGTGTCTATTCATTCTGGACTAGTTTCCTTGCCAATACCTTTCACAGTTTGTTGGATGACGTGC